TGAAATTTATAGCAAAACATCGCAGTCATGTAGTGACATAACTTTTACTTTATGCATTTTTGTGTATTCTGCGCCGAAAAACTGATGAATGAATCAGGCCTCTCGCTAACGTTGTAACGTGAACAGTGCTCCTCGGCAAGGGCAAACATGGTGGGTGGAATAGATTAGCGCGTGAACTCAGGTACAAACTCCTCTATTCTTTAAAGGTCCCAGTTCCATTTGTGTCTGTCATGGCGCGGATGTAACTATTAAGCGGTAATGTAGTAAACGATAATCAGCGGTTATACTTTGGTCATCTTGCACTGATTGGGCAAGGCTAGAGCCGTAGAGGACCTTGTGATCACCTAGTTTCTTTAGGTTTTTAAATACGGAGCGTTTCATAGTCGCACCTTGTCGCAGATCTGCCATCGGCGTTGTAGTCGACAGCCCCACTGCGTATGCTCGTGTCTCGGGTCGCATGTTCACGTCTATCGCCAACTGTCCCTGTCCGCCCCCTCTGTCGCCTCGGAAGACCGAGTTAGGCAGCGTCTGCTAGTAAAATCCGATTGCTCTCACTGCCCAACCAGCCACTGGGAACAGGATCGTGCGTTCGGTACTCAGAGAGCTTCTTTACTGGGGTTTCACTTGACATGACGCTTTGCTTCACTCTAGCAGATGCGCTGGAAGCAACAGTACCTTCATTGAGCAGTGGGCCACAACCCATAAGCCGCCCACCACTCAATGAAGGCAACGCTTTTCTTTCATTGATTAACAAAGAAAATTGAAGGCGAAATAGCAATTAAGCATTGCCAAATTATACCCAATTACGCAACAATCACCCTATACCCCTCACACTCTGCGACGCATTTTTCGAGTTCTCCCGTTGGAAAACGTGGGTGGCTTTTTCTTAAGTCAGTCGCTCATTTAGTCTGATCGGTGTGCTTCGGTGTGAAGACTAGATCAGCTCAGATTTCAATTTAGTTATGCTAAGTAGCTAGGATTTATTTATCATCACATTGAACATATTTATGTGGATTAGCAAGTTTTGTTTGGAACGTCACTACTTACCTTGAATGCAGTTATTAAGGTCTTCGCTGGCATGAGGCTCATCAACATAGCCGTAGTTCGTACCTTATTAGTTAATAAGGTTTAAGTAATACGGTTTTGCATGCATGCTCATAATAATGTTACGCAATCAGGAAAGTCTTAGCACGGTATTACATTTACGTGGCTTGACTAGAATGGTCTTATTAAGATTTACCCTAATTGCATTGGTCTTAGCATGATATGGCTTGGTTAGCTTGGTCATATGAGGCCCTTCCCTAATTAGCCTAGTATACCGCCCAGTCAGTTGGTTATTAAGCCAGGTGCACATGCTCGCAGATTTAGCACCCGATGAAAACAACGAAGAGATCGCACACGGGCCTAACAGCACACTATGATGTACACGTCGACAATGATGATTGTACACGTCGACAATGATGTACACGTCGACAATGATGATGGCCTCGGGTTTATCTAGGGTCGTGATGTTGTAAGCCACTTGGCCACAACTATAATAAAAGGGTCCACCACGCTGGTTATTCTAAATGACACTGAGTGCAAACGTAAACACCTGAAAATCTATTTCTCTAGCCCGCGCCTTAAAAAAAAATATCAGTAAAAGTTTGTGATACATTCATTGCATCAGTGTACTTCTGCACTCAGTGCAAAGGTGAAAAAAAAAAGAAAGAAGTTTCTGGTTTGAAAACGCTGGCCAGTTTTATCGACCGTCTTCGATGTTATTCCGTGCTTCATCATAACTAAAGGAATCCAGCGTGCACTGAGTCTGAGAGAGGGTATTTCGCCGTTTACTAGTGTTCGCTCGTTCAAAACGGGTTGTCGTCGCATGTCGCAATGATTCTGAGTTTCGCCAATCTCGGGTCATTCTGCATAGCACCCCTGAGTTAGATTCTCACTCGGATTGACACATGTAATCATTTTTTATTTCGATTTCTCTGGCATTTTCTATCACGAACAAGATATTTCGCTCCCAGCTAACGGTGATGTCTTGGCACCAATGCCATCGCCTAGATCATAATTTCTCCGAAATGAGCTCGTTAACGGTAATACAATAAAAACACTAGATTAATATCATATATAGTAGGATGACTGTCATTACCACGTGTAATAGGGCTTCGCTGAAGCCTAGAATTGCACAATAGATAGCATTATGTGGATTGTGGCACAACTGGTTCATCTAAAGACTGTAAATAAAGCAAAGACGCCCAGTTAATTATCATAGTGGAAAAAAGCATGCACAACTTGTGCTGGTGCGCAGGTGAACTTGTGTCTTCATGGACGAGTAAAGGTTACGTCACGAAGTAGTAAAACGAAGAATTGTGCGTTAAAGGTGAATTCACAGCTATAACTGCAGTAGGTATTTTAGGATACCTTTAAAAGGCCAGTTTGAAGTTCTGTTCATTCGTAATTGCTTCATACATCCATAATTCGTCCTCCGTCCGTCCGTTCGTCCATCCGTGGACCGTCTCTCGTTCGTTATTTTTCGTGTGACATTTCAATTTCTATATTTCTGCCTCGCCACGTGGTCTAGTGGCTAAGGTACGCACTCGTCTTTTGACCCGCAGGTCGCGAGACCGAATCCCGGCTGCGGTGGCTGAATTTTCGATGGAGGCAGAACTGTTGTAAGCCCGTGTACTCAGATTCGGGTGCACGTTAAAAAACCCCAGGGGGTCGAAATTTCCGGAGCCCTCCACTACGGTGTCTCTCATAATCGTATGGTAGTTTTGGGACGTTAAACCTTACATATCAATCAATTTCTATATTTCTCATTCATTGCTTCGGCATTGTGACAAAACTGATAGTTTGTTGCGGTAGAAATCAATGGGCACTCTTATTCAGTTTTTCGCATATAAATTCCTGCCATAATTTCTAGTAGATACAAATCGATGGGCCCGCATATCGTATTTTGATTTGCTACGAACATTTGTGCTCGTAATCGAAGCTGCTGAAACAAGCTAGCTGTTTTCTTCACAAAAAGGGTGCATGCGATGTCATCTGACGTATGAGCCTTCCATTCAACTGCCACTAAAGCAGAGTGTAGTCCTTCAACCGTCATTCAAAGGGTGAAGGAGCGTGAAAGGTGGCTGTGGAATGGGCGCGGGTATTTGTTGCTGCTTCGCTCTAGCATCAGCTGCGAACTTGAAAATACGGGTGCCTAAATTTAAGCACACTGCCCTAAAGCATTTTCGCCCTCAACGAAAATGCGGCCTCCACAGCAGGTATTCGTTCCCGCCACCTGCGGATCAGAATCTGAGTGCCATTTCCACTAGAGCACCATGGCGAGTACCTTTGTGAAAGGTCACACAAACTTAATAACCAATGTTCAAGCATCGTTCACCCTGTTCCACTTTATACCGCTCTGAAAACTAGGGCGAGGTGTTGGCGTGAATTGTGCCAAGCACACATGCAAATGGAAATGTTACCTCTCGGTCACGCACTTTGCGCGCATATGCAAGAAACGGGTGTGTGCCGTCGCATCACCTCAGTAAGCCTTAATGTGCGCCAGATGTGAGACTGCTTTCATTTATAGATTACTAGAAGAATTTCGTAATAACTCTCCCTATCACCAGAGTGCGTCTTCACCTTTATCCTCCATGGCTTTGTGCGCACGGGCCCCATCGAGGGTGCAGGATGCGACGATGACCATACGTCCCACACTTGAGAGCTTAATTGTCAGACACTATACGTTGTTTCGCAGCTAATATAAACCCAATAGACGCTTGAAAAGTGAGAAATACTGCGGCTGAACAGCCTGCATCACAGAAATTGTCGAAAACTTCGAGCAGTCGGCATGCAGCTGGTACCACGTGATCTCGTTTTATACGTCAAAGAAAGATTCCGGCAGACAGTAACCATAGTGGCCTTTCGCCGCCAATATGTTGTGCCGATACGCCTTCAAAATGAGCTGACTTGACAAGGCTCGCTGCGTAGTGAAATGCTTCTTTGTTTCTTTCTTTCCTCCTTGGTTACGTCAAAGCTGATAGCATGCGAGCAGTGGCGGCAAATGGTGTGCTAAAAACTGGCTAGATATTCGTGCAGTAACCCTTCCCATGGAATCAATTATACCGTTGCTTGATTTAAGAATACATGTTGTTTCTCGTAGTGAGTCACATACATCATCTGTGTTTCTTTACAGAGCCCCCTCAGCATGCTTTTCCCTGGCAAGTTCATCTAGTGAACGGCGGAACGAGTGGTTGAATTTGTTGGCTATCGGCGCGAGTCATAACATATTGATCGCGTATCAGAATAGACGCTATCGTCTTCACAATATCGTGCTTCACGCTCTCGTTCGGCGAAATTCTTTTCCAGTAATTTTTCGTACTGTTGTGCACTTATAAAAACATTTTTCACACATTTCCACTTATGAAAACATGCACACGTAAAATTAATTTATTCATAGAAGTCACCTAACATTGACGATGGCATGCTGGCAGTGTTTTCAAATGTGAGATAAAAACAATCACTTTTGAAGCTTCCAGTATCAACGTCTTAGAACATGAAGAATTCATATTATCTGAAAAAGAAATAGAGGTAATCTATGCATGTGTTAAAGAAACATAAGGCACCTTATATGTTGTACTATCTGTAAGGCTACAGCATGCCATACCCAAGAGGTACCAGTACAAGTGAAACTTCTCCTTATCCGACAAAACAGTTTCATCATAATACTTCAATTGCTGTAGTTTTCAGTGACATTTACACCTGAAAACAAGACAGAAAGTTACAGCGAAATACAGGGTGATGCTGCATTGTTGGCAGAAGCAAGGTTGCTTCTTTTGCTCCTTAGAATAAGGCAGTGTAATAGACTGCCAGCGTAACGTTAGAAAGTGGCGCAGCATCACACTTGTTTACTCTTCCTGGAACACTTATTATGAATGCTGAAATAATATGCATGATCTTCGTTTGCGTAGTTTCAATGTGACAATTCAGTTCAGGCGGTTTTTATTAGGGATACAAAGGTTTATTTACAGAAAAGCAGAGCTTCAAGCGTTTCTAGCTCTTCAGCAGGGATCACAATTAGGACGAATGTCACTGTAGCCAGTTGATATCTGCATAACGTCCTCTGTAGGTCACACCAACACGAATTGGCGAATCATCTTTTCTGTTTAGCTACGAAAAAAGAAACATAACAAATTAATACTTCTTATCTACAAATGAAACACAGCCCGAAGTGATTCAGCACTGTGACTTATTCGGCTGAAAGCAAGACTTGCCAGATTGTAATAAAAATGCGAATTCAATGGGCTTTCTTTAAAAAAAAGGCCTTTTGAGCTATACAGCGAAACTATAATAGTAATTCACCACCTGATTATCGGTTGCGGTAATTAGAGGAGCAGTGCAAATTAATGTACTATGGCACGAATTGTTAAACAAAAACAAAAAATACAAAAATTGTTACAACGCGACATTGTTCATGCGCCAGAAATGCAATATTTCGATGTACGAGAACTTTGCAAATATTTATTCCTCTAACAGCCACTGAGAAGAGACAGAAGTGTTTAACTCAACTACCAATTCATCGTTCACAAAAAAACTATTATATTATTATTACTTTGCTCAAAATGAAGTAAAAATTGCTCGCTTTGATGCGCCTTGAATGCTGTGCTGTAACATTGTAGTAAATTGTTAAAACGGACCTGAAACATTGAAAGGTCCGAAATACACTAAGGTACAGCCTGTTTCATACTTAGGGGAAATCTCGGATTGCATAGCACCTGGTGCGGCTAACGCTGTACACCCGTGCCGCTATAGCATATGACCTGGCTCAATATTATGGCCCTTCAAGTGTCTACGCATGTACGAGCTGAAGCCGGCACTTGACTGTCGCACTGGCCACACCACGGTTCATGTGTTCCGAAATTTCCCCGAAGTGTGAAACAGACTGTACATAATGGGGTGCTTGTCCTTCAAAAATGACGCACACGGGCTGTCATATAAATAAAAAAAGAACATTGAAACACCCGCTATATATGGACGATTGTATGAGATATTACTTCAAAATTTTGACGCAAGTATTACATACAAAAAAGAGAAGTTTATAGAGGTTCCGCTAAGATTTCTAATGTCCAACAACTCACTGTTGAAGCAAGAAAATGTTAGAATGTTGGTTATTGTGTTACTGCTCTAATTGCGCGAAAAGATAGAGACTAAATATTATGAAAGAAGCTCCACATTTCAACTGTGAACGTTAGATCGTGACAGGAAAGTGACCAATTACAAAACCATGCAGTTTTCTTAGAAAGAGCTTTTTAGACGGTAAAATGTTTTATATAAAAATGTTATGACAGTATGGCCCTTCTCGTTTTCGCAGGTGGAGTTTACACTGACAGGGAGAAACTTTCCTCGATGTAAAGTGGCACTTAATTGGGCAATAAAGTTTTGTCCCTTAATTATTTAATAAAATGAGGGCTATCGTTTGTATTGGACAGCTCTAGGACGTGACAATTGATGGCATACACAGTTTAAATATATCCTGTGTAACCCACGCCATGCGTCAGATTATATTAGGCAAAAATATAAGGCCCCTCGAAATTGAGCGCCACTGGTGCACAGAAAATCAGTCAGCTATGTTGCATCACACACCAGAAGCTCACGTCAAAACCATAGAAAAAAGGTGCACAACAGCAATGAATGATGGGGGGAAACACACAACTGTAAAGTGACTGCTTGCTGTTTGCTATATATATATATATATATATATATATATATATATATATATATATATATATATATATATTTATATATATATATATATATATATATATATATATATATATATATATATATATATATATATATATATATATAGCAGCACTTCCATGAGTAGTCATGATGTGGTTTATTTCGACGTTTCAGCCATAGTAGTCTGGCTGAAACATTGAAATAAACCACGTCATAACTGCTCGCGGAGGATATACTTCACCACTTGCAACGCTAAAGCCATTCCACCACCATGCCTGTCTATATGTCTATATATATATATATATATATATATATATATATATATATATATATATATTATCAAGGGGGGGGGGAGGCTTGAGGCATCCATGTCGTGTTTACGGAAGCGTCGAACGGTCATTCTGTTATATCCAAGCCACGGTGGAAGTCGAATTCGCGACGATGGCGAGTGTTCTGATGTTCAGATTCTTTTTGAGTGAAAACCTGGTGTGACGCTTCCAGTGAGTGGGAAGATAACTTTGCGGAATGGGACAGGTCACCCAACTACGTACTGGCGCGCAGCCTGATATACGTATGTAATGCCACATTTGTCTAGATGCCTGAGCTTATCAAGCACGAAGGGAAGTTGCCGAAGGAGCCTGCCGACACGATCGTATGCACTTGAAGTGGTCGTCACACGTGGCAAATACGGTTGGAAGGCAGCGACGAATGCTGTAGTCCGGTTGCTCCAAGAGTTGTACTTGCAGCAATCGTACTGATGCCGTGCCTTGGCGGACTCGCGCAGTCGGCTTTCGGAGAGCGATATCATCACGTAGTCAGTCAAAGCATGTCGACGGGAGGATGATTTGATATCGTGAAGCCAGATGGCTGTGGCTTCATTTACGCTAGTGAATTCATCAATTTCATTGATGAATGATGAAGCAACGGGGTACGTGCACAGGCTGCTGAGAGGACCGTGCACGTAGCGTTTTGAAAACGCTTGGCCGTAAAGAGGTCGCATAGCCACAAGTGAGAGACTACGTCTGTCTTCTGGCATCAATACTCACGTTGCTTCGGTTGGGGAACCGAAGGCGATGTTCAAGGAAGCGTGTGCAGCATTCGTTGGCGAGGAATCAGTTTACGAAGCCGAGTCAGTTGAGTTCACGTGTGCACTCGCAATGACGCCTGCAGACAGAGCGCTGACTGCGGTATACCCGCGGGAGCCAGGTCAGATGCCGTGGTCACACTAGCAGAAGCAGTGGTACGCTGGTGAGTGCGTGTATTTTGTTGCACGGTTTCTGCATGCAGGCCGGCGCACAAAAGTTTCCTGAGCGTTTGCGTTATCGTACTGTGCGAGATAAATTCAACACCCGTTTGTGACACAAGCTTTTTCACTGTTTAAACCTATTTTTTTCGCGGACCCATTACAATGGTTTCCACCTAAAACAGGCGGGCAATATAAAGGGGAAAAGTAATTTTATATTTTGATGGAAGAAAAAAAAACTACTCAGTCGTGTAGAGAAAATAAAAGTAGACAAATGATCAGGTTACGTAAGAGCTGTTTCTTTCTGCCTTTTCTTCTACTCCGTCTAATCCATGCCTGACAGCCACTGTGCGGCTCTTCATTACAATATGTTTATCGCTGCTCGCCGAAATTCCTTCAGTCACCAAATCACATCACATAACCGGTAACTCTCGCACGCTTCATGAAACACATTAGCAAGTTTGAACTGCCAAAGCGAACTTAATGCAGCTCACTAATTAACCTGACCTCTTGTCTTAGGTATTTCTGCAGATGTAATGAGGTTAATGGTAACTCCTTGCAGCAGTGTGTACAGAAGCTTTGAAAGAATGTATACTTGGGCATATTGGTAATTGATGTGTCAGTGGTGTGTCTGTGGCGTTACTACGTCAGTTTTCATCAGGGTCCCTTATGCGCTAATCTTCACGATATAATAAACCGCCAAAATATAACAAAAAGTGCAACACAACAAAGGAATTACAGGGCAATATATATTTTACCAAAACAGTGCATAAATAACTGCGTCACTGAAATCAATCTTTATTATTATTAATTTTTCATAACAAAGTTGTTCTCTTTTCACAAAATGCAACTTTCTGTACACGTTTCAAGCAAACGAAATGGTAGAAATCAGTGCACAAGTGTTCCTGATAAGAAAAAAGGCTTTATGCTGCTTGCTACGGCAATGTTGACTTAAAAAGTTTGGTCTGCGCATTTTTTATAAAGGGTTCAGACAGGAAGGAGATCGTGGGCTGGGAATATTTCTGAGCAAAAATAGAAAACAAAAAGGATTTTAGTTTTCACAATATGTAACAAAAGTGCGTGAAACGTTTACTTACTGCATTGGCAGTCGCAGGTAGTAGGTGCTCGAGTTCTAATGCACGACAGTTTATAGAGAGGCTTAGGACACAATGATCTCCACGCATCACGGCAGTGCTCTCCTCTAGGAACTGCATGGAAACATCAAATGTTTTGGCTGTGTCCTTTCACGAGAACTTTGAAATATGCTGTCATGCGAATTTAGTAATCTCAACCGGTGTTGCTTAAAGCTAAAGCAAATGATTTCCACGATTCCACACACTCACAGCATTACTAGCAAGTGCTCTATGTTCTCAAGACAAGGCCACCATCACGTATTACTGTAAATTCTCGAATTCATAAAGAGTACTTCAGCGCTTCGTTCTTTTTTTATTGCAAACTTGTATATTAGGAGTAACCAATACTCTACGCATCACGCGTCAGGCTCTGTGTTTGTTCAGGTTACCACAGAAAATGACTTACACGCATAGGTCCCGAAGTTATCGAGCATATTACTTATTTGCACTTTGCCCACCACCTCGGTGATTTTTTTTTTGAAAAATCAACACGGCTTGTTTAAAGTTGAGCTGCAGGTGGCTACATTCATTTAAGTTAGATCTTCATAATCATCAAAACTTTCCTCTGCACAATGTGAAAAGTGATGATCTGTGCGACATGTTCCAGCCATTTCATCCCAAAACACCCGGTTAGGCAATCGCGACATATTGCCTCCATGAAACAGGTGGACTGTGTTTTACCACATTTTTGAAAACACCCTCATCAGACGTGGGACACCAAAAACCTATGCCTGAAACATGAGCCACGAACGTGCTGCACTACTCTCGGATTTTGCCTTCCCTTGCCGGTAAGAAGGCGTCCACTCCCCTGCAAACACAGCACGCTCTCACAGTTGCCTCCGAGCAGCCATGATGTCACCTGACAGAACGGTACGGTAATGTCACGTGACAGAGCCGTATGGAGGCGAGCATTCACATGCAGACAGGAGGCATTGCCTCAGAAATAGCGAGCTCGCAGGAAGCTCCCAACTCAAAACGGACCGACGTTCCAGGCATAGTTTTTATATGCGAATCATTTTTAGGGAACTTTGACGACATTTAACGTATCTATCTATCTATCTATCTATCTATCTATCTATCTATCTATCTATCTATCTATCTATCTATCTATCTATCTATCTATCTATCTATCTATCTATCTATCTATCTATCTATCTATCTATCTATCTATCTATCTATCTATCTATCTATCTATCTATCTATCTATCTATCTATCTATCTATCTATCTATCTATCTATCTATCTATCTATCTATCTATCTATCTATCTATCTATCTATCTATCTATCTATCTATCTATCTATCTATCTATCTATCTATCTATCTATCTATCTATCTATCTATCTATCTATCTATCTATCTACCTATCTATCTATCTATCCACTTCCCTTCGGATGCTCACGTGGTTACCACCTTAACTTGGCGCGAAACAAAATAGCATGGAAGGGTAAGATGGTTTGGTGAATCTGTAATGCTGAAAAGACATCAATAAGGTCACAATTCTGTCATGTGGGTCGTCAAACACTTTTCGGTAGTAAAAAAGGCACATCCCCATGGGCGCGTATGTGCCGCTGGTATGCGGGTATATGCCACAGTTGGTCGACACTTGGTATCTACCTAGGAACGACGAGAACACGCAAGTGAAATTTTAATGCGCGAGTGTTACGAAATACCTGACATCGGTAGCGTCGACACGACCAATGCAAAGAATAAATGCCAGAGTCTCAACTGAAATTGAACTCAAGCCTTCTGCGCGGCAATGAAATATTTTACCAAAGAGCTACGCCAGGTCTCGGAACTTCTTTTCAAATAGACGCTAATCTTCGTGAAACGTCAATAGGGGTCGCAGTGCTGCCTACCCACTTTTCCAAACATTACATTTGTACTCCTTTAATACGGCCACCACGTCGGGTTAGTATCTGTTGTGGTTAGTTGCCATCCGCTGAAGTTGATTTATGTAGCAGTGTCCAGGGCCAGCATCCTCTCGTGTATCAGCGCTTCATATCAGCTTCTGGTAATGCTAATACGCATGTTCCAATTGGCATCGTTGCCCAAGGGCAAACAACTGGCTATATAAACATCTGGAACTCTTCAGCATATGTCGGTGCGTGCAACGTTTGCACACATAATCAGCGTTATTTCATGACGTGTCGCTCAATAAGAAAATTACAACATGGTCACCTTCTCTTCGCGGCATGCTTCGCATAACGTCGGTTTCCAAGTACGTGGGATCTGCGGAGGTTTTCAAGAAGGCCTTGGGGACATATACGTTCCACCTTTTTTTCAACGAATGCGGCTTCTGATGTGCTTCTTCCACCAGTTGCGTGCGCGTAAGTGGCGGCCACTCTTCAGTAGAGAGAGATCTACTTGTTTTTTCTCTTCCATCGTCTGCGTTCGCCGCGGTGTACCCTGCAATGGGCGCCATTCCCAAATGCGTTGACTTACTTCTTGTAGTTGACTGTGTTCTTCGCGAAGATCTTCGATGGTGACGTCTTCGTCTACGTCAGACTTTTTCCGTAGCCTCTTTGTAGGTAAAGCTGTCTCGCACCATTTGTCTAAGAAAAGTAAACTCCTTCTTTATGCGTGGACAGTCTTTGGAAGATACACTGTGGGCACCTTGAAAATTAGGGCACTTTAGTATGGTTGCGCTGCATTTGTCCTCGGTGTGTGGTTCTGAGCATCGGGGGCACACTTCGGAGTTCCTGCACGCTCCCTGCACATGGTCGATCTTCTGGCACTTATGACATCGCATAGGTTTATCAGAGCAAGCTGCGACAACAGAGGAGCAGCGGAACTTGGATAAGCAAGTGATTGCTCTTCTACGACCCATAATTAATGCCATTCGCACGGTTTTAAACAACATGCGCACAACGTAAGCAAGAAGTGCACTTCAAGTACTGGACGCTCTGAGTCCAGTACTGGCGGCTCCTGAGTAGATAATGGCCCACCAGCCACTGTCTTTCAGGGAAGAGGTCAAAAAAGCAACAATTTTTCAGCTGAATGCACGGGGACGGAAATCACGCATTGCAGATTTCCGTCGGTTCGTTTCCACCGATATGTTTCCCATCATCGTCATCTGCGAGCCAAATTTATCGAGCGCTATTAGACCCTCTGGATACGAATCATTTATGTCGGCTTGCTATAGTGGAAACAACAAGGTCCTGCTGTTTATTCGACGTGACCTGACCTACATTCGGCAGCCTGTACCACCTGACAACGATAACCAATATATATGCTTAACAGTGAAGAAAAAGGGTCTTATTGTCACTGTTGTCGGTGCATACCTGTCGCCATCAAGTAGATTTGACCACAGAAGACTAGGAAACATCCTATCATCCACTCCTGGCCCATAGGTGATCATCAGAGACTTCAACGCCCACCATACGCTATGGGGGAGCCCGAAGATCAGCGCAAAAGGTAGAAGTCTGATAACGTTTGCTTTAGACAACAAGCTGTGCTTGTTAAATGATGGCAGCCCAAGATTTTTACGTGGTCCTGGATACAGCAGTTGCCTTGACTTGGCTTTCGTTTCTCGAGGTCTCGTCAGATGTGCCGGATGGTTTGCGGACATAGAAACACCTTGCAAGGTACGTGAAACTATCCAAATAGTGGACTGAACCAAAATTGAATCTCTCATGGAAGAACGCTGTCAAGAGAACACCTCATTTGACTTAGAAGAGGTGATCAAGTCCCCAGTGCAAGACACAGTGTGCACCCTCACATGCTCTTCAAGAGCAACCGAATTTGATGTGGAATTAGAACGACTTCGGGCTCTTCGACGGCATGCGGAACGAAGGTACCGACGCACGAAAGCAACGACGATTTACGAATCGCGAGACGTCTTCAGAAGAAGATACAACGCCGCATTGACAAGCTAGAGTCACAACGTTGGGCAGCCTTCTGCGCTTCGTTAGATCCTCGCAAGCCTTTATCACACTTGTGGAGGACAATAAGAGGGCTCCGGACAGCTCCCATTCAGCGGTCTCTATTCAAGGCTCTAGCCTTCTCTCAACAGAGATCGGAGGTCGACGTGGCAGAAGAGTTCTGGACCAACTTATCTGGTCAACTCGCAGATCCCAACATCTCCACGCTCTGACGTGGTGGCACGGCATCACACGATCACCACATGAGGTCGACGTGGCAGAAGAGTTCTGGGCCAACTTATCTGGTCAACTCGCAGATCCCAACATCTCCGCGCTCTGACGTGGTGGCACGGCATCACACGATCACCACATGGACCAATTTTTTTCTATTCATGAGCTTAAAGCAGCACTGGCTTTGTGTAGATGATCATCAGCACCCGGGCCTGATGGAATATCATACAGAGCACTGTGTCCCCTTGGTGAGTGTGCGAGTAGTGCCCTCCTTGAGACTTACAACGATTCGTGGCGAGAGGGCACCCTCCCAGTTAAGTGGAAGACCAGCCGTTTGGTACCATTACTGAAGTCTGGCAAGTCACCATTGATGCTCACATCATACCGCCCGATTGCACTGGCTAGTTGCTTGCGTAAAGTGATGGAGAGGATGGTACTTGGACGGCTATAATGGCTCCTGGAGCATCACAACATCTACCCGGACGCTATGAAAGGATTTCGCCGTGGCCGGTCATCAATTGATACGTCATAGACCTGGTCAGCTACGTGCAACACGAAAAAGGCCGTAAGCGTCTCTGCGCTTCTTTATTTCTTGATGTTAAAGGGGCGTACGATAACGTCACACATGAAGCTGTCCTCACCGCTCTCAAGGATGTAGGAGTGGGTGGTCGGATGTTTCAGTGGCTACGCAGCTGTCTCTCTGAATGATCCTTTTTCGTGAGAACCGAGGATGGTGACACTTCGCTACATTACATCAATCGTGGTGTTCCCAAGGGTGGCATACTTAGCCCTGTACTATTCAACCTGACGCTAATAGCTCTCAATAAGCATCTGCCAAGTACTGTCAGATTGTCAATGTACGCGGACGACGTCTGCGTTTGGACGTCTGCAGTAACACGTCTACAGCTGCGAGCGCGCATTCAGGGAGCTGCCCCTCAAGTTGCTATTTAACCTCCGTCAACGAGGTCTGGAAATTTCCTCTGAAAAATGTGCACTTGTGGCATTTACGCGCAAACCAATGCATAGCTACAGCGTTCTGATAAACAGCGAAAGATTACGTCACCTCCGATCATTCAAGTTCCTAGGTGTTATAATTGACAGAGACCTCTCATGGAGCTCACATGTATCATACATGAAAAGGCAATTGACAGGCATCTGCCATTTTTTCAAGTTCTTCGCTGGAAAGAACTGGGGAATGTCCACAACTGCTATGTTGCGACGATACAGAATTCTTTTTCTTGGTTTCCTTCAGTACAGCCTACCTGTGTTAACCAACGCAAGTAAAACAAGCATACGAATGCTTCAAAGTGCCCAGGCTTAAGCACTCCGTATATGTTTAGGCTTGCCATAAAGTGCGTCAACAGTGGCAACTATCGCCATCACAAGGGACAACCTCATCAAGACCCACATTAATGTGGACGTGCTGAGGACACGTATATGACACCTTGCCTCGAACCCCTCGACATCACCTAGCCTCTCTACCAGTGGTCCGACCATGCACATCTTTCTGCAAAACAGTGACCGCATATGGTGAGTCGATCCCAACTTCGTTCTCTCCTGCCGCTAGACCTGTGACTCCGCCATGGTGCCTCGCTCAACCAATGATTATTATTAACATACCTGGCGTCCAGAAAAAGGCCAATTTGTCGTCACCGGCTCTTAAACAGCTCACACTACTTCGCTTGTATGAGAAATATCAAGACTCCACACATATCTACACTGACGAATCGGTTCAGCCAGACAGCTCTACAGGAGCAGTAGTGATACCATGGTCGGCCACGACAAATAAATTCAAGACATCTCACGCAACAACATCAACGGCAGCAGAATTGGCAGCACTTCGTGCCGCGTTGCAATTTGTAGTTGATCAACCTACATGCAAGTGGACTATTTTCTTCGACTCGAAGGCGGCACTGCAGTCTCTACTATCAGCCTTACGCCGTGGACCACACGAACAGCTGGTACTAGAGATAGCAGAGGTTATGCACCACCTGACTGAGAAAGGACACCAAATTACATTTCAGTGGTTGCCCAGTCACTGCGGAATCATCGGCAATGAACGGGCCGATCAAGCTGCCCGCTCAGCCCACACAGAAGATCATAAACTGCGACTACCACTTTCTAGGACGGATGCTGCACGAGAGCTCCGCAGACTTGCTCACCGGCAAACCACATCGCAATGGAATCAGCCACACTTTAAGCATGCCCGACTGTACTCGCTCGACCCTACGCTAAGCCTTCAAGTCCCGTCAAGGCTTTGCCGAGCCGACCAGACCCTGTTATGACGGCTGCGGTTGGGCGTTGCGTTTACCAACGCCTACGCTTTCCGCATTGGGATGGCCCACACCGCAGCCTGTGGCCACTGTGGCAAAGAGGAAACAATCCAACATATTCTTTGTGACTGCCTAGCGTATAGTAAACAACGACTATGCCTTCGCAAAGAACTCAACAAATTAGATGATCAAGCTCTGTCGGAGCAGGGAATTCTGCAGTATCGTCAATATGCGACTTCACAGAAGAGGGTCCTGAAAGCGCTACTACACTTTTTGCGATCGACCGGCCTTACTGAACGGTTGTAGCTAGGACGCCCTTTCTGTGTGTGTTTTCGTTTTTTTTTATGAGTGCGCGTGCGTTTTTTTTTCTCTATCTAACCCCTCTTTTTTGCCCCTACTTCCCCGCCCCCAGCGCTGGGTAGCAAACCAGATGCCAATATCTGGTAAACCTCCCGGCCTTTCCTTTCTCTCTCTCTCACTCTCTCTCTTCAACAATATTTACTCTTGAGTTTGTTTAAATTTGTTTCATACTATTGGTTTGTAGTTTGTCAATGTACCACAGCACGTTTTTTTAACCATGGAGTCAAAAATAATGCGAACATTCAAAAGCTAAGCAGGGAACCTGGAGAGCCACCAAATGCAGACAGACGAACGGACAGACAGACAGACAGACAGACAGACAGACAGACAGACAGACAGACAGACAGATATATAGATAGGTAGACAGACAGATAGATAGATAGATAGATAGATAGATAGATAGATAGATAGATAGATAGATAAGAACACTTCGAGGGATTACAGTATGCTGAGAAATGCTTCGCATTTGATCGACTTTCCGATTTGGGGGAAATGTAACAAACATTTTTGAAGACCTGTTTTGCTGATGCACAAATGCAATCAGTGTGTGAAGATGCGCGAGCGGAAGAGTGGTTTGGATTTAACATCATGCTTGTGCAAGGTTACTTGTTCTACGTTCTGTTTTTGAACATCGCATCATCAACCAATCCGCTGTGGAGGTTTGATACTGTGATTTCACACAGTTGTCTGTAGTTAAAAATTTGTCTGTTCAAAAATTCTCAACGGTATAACGTCCAAAACCCTGATGTGATTGTGAGAGACGGTGAAGTGGAATGTCCGAAGAAGTTCAGCCACGTGGGGTTCTATAACAGGAACGAAGTTTCAGTTCACGCGCCTCAAACATCATCACCTTTATGAAAAATGTGGCTGCCATGACCGGCATTCAAACGAGTGTCGTGTGGAAAACCAGTAGAACACAATAAACAAAAGGTACTGTGGTGGGTGAGAATTTATCTGCGCAAGGGTGGAAGTTCTAAATGGTTTAATTCATTGTCTCAAGCGGAACGTTCAGAAACATCTACCGTACACTTGCGCCTAACGACAGTGGCTTTCTAGGTGCGTAGAAGTCAGGAGTTTTTATTTGGGTTAAATTTTTCCGCTGGAATTCAGCATCCGCTACTCCTTCAGATGCCATAAAGCTGTACGCGCATCAGCTTCACGTTGACGAATCAGACAAAACAGACCTAATATAAAACACCTAATCGTCATAAGGACATATCACTTCATCTCTTGACCTTTTTAATCCCTTGCCGTTGTGTAACTGCTATCCCCATGTTAACTGGTTTGGATGCTTTGTGCAACATGTAGAATCGGAATAAAAATAAGGATGACCAGGGTGTGTTACTACGGCCGGGGAGTTACTGCGGTTCTCGTACAGGCTGAAAGCTTCCAAACCTGCTTCATTACTTCACGCTTTCCTCTTCAGTAATTTTTTTCCAGCATTTCTACGGAATGCATGATGATGAGTGGGGCGAATCATCCGTGAGTCCGCGCTTCCGTCTGTTTTTTTTTGTTGCTTCCGTCCGTTCGTGTGTCCGTCCGCGCTTCCGTTTGTGTGTCCGTCCGCACGTGCATCCGTCTGCCCATCTAATGAACTCTCCAAGTACCGCCATCTCACGTCTTTTCATCGTGTATTCTTCATATAGAGGTACCGCCATGGAGCGGAAATTCGAAGGACTAAACAAGAGGTATAGCATGGCGAGAGTAGGAAAGTGGCTCGCGTGCACCCTGTTACAGCCTGCGCTTTGTGGCTAGTTCCCGCCTTTCACCGCCGCTGGTTCATGGCCCTGCGGCCTCCCTAAACATTGCTAAAACCAAGGAGGTTACATCCAGTGAGCTTAACGTGGCAACTTTTTCTGGTCAAATAGTGCACAAAGTTCATCCTTCTATTACTAGTTTTTTGAAACCTTAAATTTAACACAAACTTTATTGCAGATTAAGTCATTGATACTCGTTTTTGTAGGTTGTTTCGTCACAAACAAATATCTTTTTATTTATGAAGAACATGCGCGGCCTTTTTCCTCATTTCAAAAGAGTGTGCTCGTGCCGCTCCTCTATTCCGGCTGGGGAGGCGGCTACCAAGCACTACAATGACTACTACTACTACTACTACTACTGATTGATTGATTTGTGGGTTGTAACGTCCCAAAACCACTATTTGATTATGAGAGACGCCGTAGTGGAGGGCTCCGGAAATTTTGACCACCTGGGGTCTTTAACGTGCACCGAAATCTGAGTACATGGGCCTACAACACTTCTGCCTCCATCGGAAATGCAGCCGCCACAGCCACTACTACTACTACTACTACTACTACTACTACTACTACGACTACTACTACTACTACTACTACTACTACTACTACTACTACTACTAATAGTACTACTACTACTACTACTACATACATCGCGGATGCACGACCCACGGCTTAGGGAGGTTCGTGCTTAAAACATCATGTCACCAATTGCACAAAAACCAGAAATGCCTGTTTCCTTTCCATCACAAAATAAGACTTGCAAATGAAACTTTTTTGATTCGAGGACTCGACATATATACACAAAATTTCGAGTAATGTAGTCGTAATATTCATATACGTAATTTTGTGAAAAATTTAGATACAGGCAATACTTCAAATGAATCAAATGAACTTTACATATCGACAAACACACTGCGAACATGGGTGTTTGAATAAGAAAACGCCATAATAGTGAGATTACTTTTCGTGCGCACTTACACTCTAAAGTACTTGCTTGTGGCCGTTGGAATGCACTTACTTTTAACCTTAGCATTTTTGTTCGCACTACATGCAACGTGGTGAAGAAGAGTTTTGAACTAAATTTGCGAAAAAATTTATTGACGGTATTACTGCATGTTATTGAATAACGGTAAAATATCAAGAAGCACGAGATCAGAACATATCCCAAGATTCCACGACTGTTTTCATGCTTCAGGCTTTGTAACGTTCACACAATAGCAGAGGTCTTGCTTGCTGCGTGTGTGTCATTGTGCGTTGCCTACTTTCAGGAAAATATTCTATAGAGCTCATATCACGCAGTCCGATGTGGTACTCACCGCAGCGCCTTATCTGTATGCCGCACTGAAGCATGCAGCTTAGTTTGTATCGGTATGGGCATCGCATACCGATGCAAAGTGAGCCAACTGTGAATAAAAAAAAGGGATTGAAAGAACTTCACGAAGTACAGTAGAAATACTGTTGTGAGGTTCCAACAGCCAAGACCACAATCAGACAAGTAAATGCGGAACTGTCCATAGGAAGCCTCTCAATCATTATAACTATATAATTATTACAATATATTATATCTTTACTGTTACGATTGTTCAGGAACCGCAAGCTATAAAAAGATTACAGCTGTTCTGCAGTACAAGAACCACTAAGTCAATTTACCACAGCACATGCCAAAGTCTACCCGAGCGTGACTTGCTGAGAGTAACACCGAACCTTGAATGCTGACGTAAATTTTAGCTTTGGCTAAAATATTAGGTTATACTCTGTCGAGCAAGAGTCGTTCGTTTCGTGCATCACTTAAAAAAAAAAAAGCCTGACAATTTGGAAGTACCGCAAAAGGTAGATCTATCGGTCTTACGGTAGGCACTATTGACGCTCTTCACACCCCAAAACCTGGAACCTGTACAAAGTATTTTAAATTCATTTTAAAGTTGGTCACTCAGCACGTTGAAGCCAACCTCGCCGCAATGAACATTATCACTACAGTTCACTGGGTTTTCAAAACTTGCATCTTGCACGCCACCTAAATAACAGAAACTGCTTTCAGAGTCGCTGGTTGACAATTCAGCCATCATTACATAAAACACCTGCGACTGACAGCAAACGGGTAGCTGCTGCTACTATGCTGCGAGCTGTAGCCTTCCGGTGACCTCAGACGCCTCGTGACAAGTCACTGAAAAGCAACTCTCCCTCTTGCCAAAAATTTTGATTTTTTGGTAAAATATGAAGTTATATTCATGCTTTCCCAAGCACCACGACACTCTTTTCAATATTCGTGACACTCTTCTTTTCATTTCAACAATACGAAAATATGTAAAGTTCCTGTGAATATAACTTTAGTGGTTTAACTAGGCGCCTAAATGTCTCGTAGAACTGCACTAGAAAGATTTTAATTGTGTTTACCCGGAATTATATAATGATACACCAGAAGGGTATGACATCCTATCATATATATTTGGTTCCTGTTTTTGTTTTTGATGCTTGTGCAACAAATGCATACATCAAAGCACATAGCTGATTCAGCAGGAAGCACATTCGGTGCATTGCAACAGTACGTGAGGAAGCAGTGTCACGCCTGTCAAACGTAGGAAACGGATGTTTTTTTAACGCAATGGTTGGATTATGGTCGTGATTGTTTTTCGCATTGAACTATCCCTATAGGTCCTTAAGTTATGCGTTTGAAATAAGTTTTTGTATAAGATAATTGGTTCAACAGGAAAATAACAATTTATTCGTATGTGAGATAGTTAATGATAAAAGAACACATAGACTTCAAATTGAAAGCGAAAGCATATTCGTGCTCTCGTGAATGATCCTCAGAAAAATGAAACTTGAAACAATCAATAAATTTCTGCCTTTTCTAGCTTATTTAACGAAGCATGTTCTCTTACCTGAATTGAGTGCTGATATGAGGAGAAGTAAACCGTAAACGCCAATTATCAGCTTCTCCAACATCTATGCTTCAATGAAAGGAAAAAAGAAGAAACAAGAGTGCTTACAGTATTCGCATTACTTCGCGGATGGATTACACGCAATTGAATTGTAATTGGCGCCACGCTTTCGTTCTTATTCTAGAGGTGGCAGATTCACTTTGTTTTTGATGACGTAAAACAAATTCGAGCAGCCATCATAAGCGATTCCCACCAAGTTGTATTGTGGATCAGCTTTTCTTCATTTATTTATGCTTACCTCTACCCAAAAAAAGCTCTCTGAAAGTTCACTAGGAAAAGGCACTTCTGTAAAGGCGCCACAGAGATGTCAATTGCACAATTATCGCTGTTTTTTGCTTACGAAGTTTTATCATGTTGATTACCATACTTTGCAAACACGAGTTGCTTGTATTGTGGCTGGCTGCACTGTCGCATTAGTAGTGGTTGGGTTGATATAGGTCGTGTAAATGTGGCTGGCCTCTTACTCACTCTAATTTTGACCGCAATGGTTCACTTCGTAGAGAAAGTATCTTTCTGCTGTTAAATTCTCACCGCACAATCAGCTTTTGTTTACTGCCCTGTGATAACCTCAGCGTTCGGCTACTCATTGTTTTAAATACCCTTGTGCTAACTTTCAGAAGCTTTAACCCAACCGGCACCACTGTACAGGCACATTGTTATTTGCAGGTTGCTCCAGCTTGAAATCTTGCTAGTGCCTATAGCCATTTCGATGCACGCTATGTCGACTCAACTAAAAGATTGTTACTGACTATTACATGAAGTAAGGTATGCTATTTCGCAAATTCTGCCTAATTACTGATCCTCTCTGACTTATTAATCAACTTCTCAAGCAGTGAAGCTGGTCGGGTAATTTTAATATAAGGGTTGAAATTGTTGCGCGAAAATGCCTACTATATTGTTTCTAAATGTAGTCGACAGAATATTATTCTTGCATACATCAGGACAGTCATATATGAGCGTTTATGGCAGGTTTTATGATAAAAAAATCTAAACTTCGAATTAATAATGCATTAGTACGAATACACGTGAGTATCAAGTATAAGGGTGAAATAATGAGTGATCTTCCATATTGTATCAAGCGTGGGTATACGTGTGGTATAAATAGGGGAGCTTACCGATTTAGGCAATTACTGCTCTGAAAAGTGTTCCTCATGCAGTGCTTCAAAATACTGTCTTTCGAAAAAAGTGAGTCATTACACATTTTTCACTACTACTTGTATTACCACATACATTTAGTACTAACAAAAAGTATTAGGCACAATCACATGCAATCGTATCACGCTACTTGCGTGAAAAAAAAACATGTCACGCGGAAAAATAATCTCTATTGTCTGATATTCCTTGTGTCAGTTCTCAATTTTGGCGACCAGGTGCACAGGATAAGGAAACAGCAGGGCCACATGTGGTCGAAAACACCTATAGATGAACTGACTATTTTTCTGACTCCGCTACAATGATGTTCATATGTTTCAATTATATTTCAAGCCATAAGCATGTTGCCATGCAGTGCTATATTCTTTGGAACTATAAGCATAATATTCAGTGTTAGAAGTTGCTCCGCTATTTTACCAGGCATCACACAGACAGGTTTTTTTGAATAACAGTGTAACTTGTTTTCTTATTTTCAAACGCACAAAATTCTGAAGTGTGTGTTTTATGACTTTTTCCTTGCGTTACATTGTGTTAAATATTTTTACTTGCTTTTGAAATATTATTGAAAGTTGAGTATTCAGGCATTTAGTTATGCCTAATATGCCTAAAACAAGAAGCAATCTTTTTCTTTTATGGGCGTTGAAATATGTCTTATCTGTACCATGACCAGTTAGCTTGTTTTAGGCTTTGAATATCGTTGATCTATTTCCTTGTCAAAAGTCTAAGCCTCTGTTTACGTATCTTTCAGCATTGGACGAATACCGCGCAATATGCATGCCACGCATCACAACAACAAAAAAAACGAAGCAAACACGAGTGCCTGCCGAAATTCGGAGGCTACAGCTATACAGATGCAGCCAAGTGTTCCTATAGAGCCACCTGCGCTTTCAGTGTCATTGATTTTTTTGGCGTTGAGCTCGCATCTGACCCACTTCACGCCCGAAAACCAGAAACTGTTTCTACCACGCGCTTGAATGCAGCTGTGGTCTTTACATATTCTCAAGCAGCCATGACCCGCAATGGTAGCCTAGTGGCTAAGGTACTCGGCTGCTTACCCGCAGGTAGCGGGATCGAATCCCGGCTGTGGCGGCTGCATTTCCGATGGTGGCAGAAATGTTGTAGGCCCATGTACTCAGATTTGGGTGCACGTTAAAGAGCCCCAGGTAGTCAAAATTTCCAGAGCCCTCCACTACGGCATCTCTCATAATCAAATCGTGGTTTTGGCACGTTAAACCCCCCAAATCAATCAATCAATCTCAAGCAGAAATGCAAAATTACTGCAAACGCCATGTGTCTACCAAAGCACTCCAGTTATTGAAGCACCACAGCTCTACGATGCCGAACATCATCGTAACATGGTTTCCAGGGCAGGAAGAGCTCGAAAGGAACGATTTGGCTCACGCCGCGGCCCGCGATCATGCCTACCGGGCTACCCCTTCTCGCTTTCTAGATGGCAGGACTGCGTCCGCCGAGGCTTACTTTGTACCTATCACCTACTCTGCAATACTGCAGCATCATAGGCTGGCACGCAGAGTGTACCACAACCACACTCGAAGCTCAACAAAGAGGACAGCACCTTACTAAAAAGACTTGAAAGCAACACTTCGACACGTGGTATACTAATGCACAGACCGTCGCTAGCATTACACGAATATCTTTGCCCGATTTGCGGTGTACCTGACATGTTGCCCCACGCTATCCTCGAGTGTCCATGCAATACAGATACAGACCTATCGCCGCCACCGAATACTGTGGCACTGGTCAAGAAAATGACCTCGTCGAAACGTGGCTGACCAAGGTCCCCAAGATAGACAATCGCCTTTAAAAAAAAACCTTAAGAAGCTTTAGAGTACCTTGTAAATAAGATGATTGAACGTAATTAATGGAAGCGTCTCGGGTGATTCCAGCTTGTGTCACGGAAGCTGTGCCATGGTGGTAGGCCGGGCGTTTGGTATCGCGGCGTAGCAAGCAGCGGAATATTGCTAAAAATGTAATTGTACTGCCGGAGTTGGTGTCAGGCGACAGCGGCTTTGCTTTAGTTACACTTCCTTACACTCTTGCAGCAATGATGTGGTGACGTCGGGGAACAAGATTCTGACGATGCGTGGTGAACCCACGTGCGCCCACGTGAGTTTGCGATGAACCCGTGTGGCATGCTCGAAAAATAGTTCGGGACGAGCAACGGCAACAGAAACTGCTGTTAATTCATGGTGTGCTCCACCTGCGAGGACACGTTAACTTCGGGCTAGGTGCCTGTGATGAACGAAACTTTAAGTCTGTATCCGTGCACTGCTCCACATGTCACTCATTGATTCCCTACGTAGGATACGATGTGATTTTTTTTTAATTTATAGCAAAAATATGTCTTAAAGTAAGTGCCATCTGGGCCAGCAAACAGGTTGGTTAGAATCTTTTAGTAATAGAAGCTTGTTCTCCAAAAGTCTAAGGTAAATAAATATGCTTTCACCCATAGGTCACAAATTACCAGAAGTACACGCATCTGCTAGCTGAAGAGTTTACGAGTGTAAGCGATTGTTGGTGGTTAAGAAGCCTACACGTCAGACTCTGGAGTTTCAGACATGTAGCACCACCTGTCAACGCAGTTTTGGGTAGTGCGAAACCATACACCCTTGCAGAGTTTGCTGCGCGACCAGGTGCAACTAGTGTAGGCCAAACAACGATTCAGGGTGTTATTGTGCTGCACACTCATAAAAGGAGCTTTGAACTTTTCTCCGCTAGTCGGACGCGTCAGCCAACCGCCATGACGTGACGGCTGATTGATCCGCCAGAATGACGGCAAAAACAAGAGCAGACACAACAGCTGTGTGCTCTACAAAAAAATACCACAGTCGACAATACTGTTGTGTTGTGAATCGCCATGGACGTAAAGGGCTTCAGTTTAACGGATTTACGTAGCTGTCGTGAAGCAGAATGGCGAGGGCGCTTGATACGGGCCTTTGCGATACTGTTCGGTAGACGAGTTACTCGCGTTCTGCCCAGCTGGTCGTATAAGAAATTTTGATGATGTAGGCCAGGTCTCCAGTTATTGTTCTGAGTAGCGTTCACAGTGAACTGTGGTAACATTGATTATGAAGCTCAACAGAGGCTCTGACCTCGTAGCACGCCATGCATCAGTAAACTGGTGACGCGTGCCATAAAGATCGCACACGCCACGACCACTGATTATTGAAGGCGGTTGCCACCACAATACATCGCGTACGTAGTCATTGAAGGCTCTAAGTTCCAGCCGGCTTTAACTGGCAAATGCGACCACGTAAGTCCTTTCACAATCAGGTTTTTCTTGCCGTTGGTATCCGTGGTTGCCGGAGCTATCTCGGAGGCTTTATTATTGTGCTTCGTTTCACAGCTAGAAAGTGGAAACGAATGTATTCGCATTTGAAGTATATACAAACTGAAGACGACTGTCAACAGAACATTCTAGGACGCACAATAAAGCATTTGAACGCACAGGAAGCGAGAGATGAACGGAGAAAGCAACTGCAAAGAATATTACCGGATCGATTCGTGCCAGACAAAGCGAGTTTCGTACACTGATAGAAAGATACTTTGCTCGTGCATGCAGTTCAACGCTTTGGCAACATGTGTATGCCAAAATGTGTGCATTTAGGCATTACAGGACGCACGTCAAAGTCCTTGCCTTGAACTCGATGTCATGCGATGCTCGCTTGCACTTAAATTGCGAGTCGCAGTTTGCCGAAACAGCTTAGACATCTTTCGCATTGTACGCACAGTTAGCTTTATAGGATTCCGACTTTTCTCAAGCGAGATTGAATTGCCGAAAGTACCTTGCAGGCCCTTAATTTTAAGTAAACCGTGTCTCAACCCCAACGAAAGAGAAGTGCCCAACAACTACGAAAGGGAGTAAACGTGCGTAGTTCTCTTGTGGACAGCTCTCTTTGCATTGTCCAGTTAAGGCGAGCTTGGCGGTAAGGACGCTGGTGGCCGCGTTTTTTTCCTGCGCTCTCTGTGAACCTGCCGCAAACGACACCGACAGGCTGCATTACGTGTCTGCAAAACTCAACAGTCGGTCGTATAAGATGCAGGCTTAGCGGAGCTAAGAAACAGCTAATTTTGTTTTTGCTGTGCTTTCATTTTATGGACATGAGCCAACTCCCTCCGCAAACTATAAAACCATGAAAAGTTTTGTAGGCACGTTGGATTTAATATCTCTCGCATTATTGTATTCGCCAGCTGTTCACCGCAAAATGAAGTAATGGCTCTAAATTCAGAAACAAATTCAGCATGATTCCCGACACAGCCTTTATAACAAAATCATATGCTTTAAACATCCAACAGAAACTGACTAAAACATTATAAGCACTTGAGACTAAAAATGTCCTGAGGAAACCTCTTTTTCTATCTTACCTGGACGCTTCAGACATATTCAAAATGTCAAAATTAGGCACTGTTATTCTCAAAAATTCGTTCCTCAGATATTGTGGGATGCATTTCAAAACAACATAATATTTAGAAGCTGAGACCTATCAATAAATTACCAGAAAAGCAAATTTTATAACACATCTGATGTATTTTTGTCAGTTACACGTGTACCGTTCCTGAAATATTTATTGGGTGCTTACATGAAGAAGCCCTCGTTTTTTTCTACACTTCAGTTTATTTAATGAACATTCTTTTTGAAGCAACACTTATGAGACATGGCCAGTCAACTAGTTCTTAATGTCACAGCATATTTTCTAGTTGACGTGGAGTGAATTGCCTGGTAATACACATTCACATAATACATGCACATAAACTAGATATGTTTTGTTTTGCCAACTCTCTTTTGGATTGAGGTATAATTATCCAGATAGGTAACGCTAAAGCAAAAATGTGCCATCATTTCATCTGTGTAAAAGAAAAAAAATCATAAAGGCTTACTCACTGATAGAGCCTAAACCTCGCCACCCCCTACACAAACACGCAAATATATGTATATATATATATATATATATATGTATATAATAGCTTTCAACGAT